CATCCATCCATCCATCCATCCATCCATCCATCCATCCATCCATCCATCCATCCATCCATCCATCCATCCATCTTCCTCTGCTTATCCGGGGTCGGGTCACGGGGGTAGCAGCTTCAGTAGGGAGGCCAAGACGTCCCTCTCCCCAGCCACTTAGGCCAGCTACTCTGGGGGAATTCAAAGGCGTTCCCAGGCAAGCCGAGAAACATAGTCCCGCCAGTGTGTCCTGGGTCTCCCACTGTGCCCACTCCCAGTGGATGTGCCCTGAACACCTCCCCAGGGGGCATCCTAATCAGATGGCCAAGCCACCTCAACTGGTTCCACTGGATGTGGCGGAACAGCAGCCCTACTCTGAGTCCTTCCCGGATGACTGAACTCCTCACCATAGCTCTAAGGGAGAGCCCAGATGCACTATGGAGAAAACTCATTTCAGTCGCCTGTATCCGGGATCTTGTTTTTTCCGCCATGACCCAAAGCTCATGACCATACAGTAGATGAGAGCAGGAACATAGATTTACTAGTAAATCGAGAGCTTTGCTTTATGGTTCAGCTCTCTCTTCACCACAACAGAGTGGTACAGTGCATGCTTCACAGCAGACGCCGCACCAAGCCGCCTATCAATCTCCCACTCAATCTTCCCCTCATTTGTAAACAAGACCCCTAGATACTTAAACTCCTCCTCTAGGGGCAGTACATCTTCCTCAACCTGGAAAAGGCACTCTACCCTTTTCCGTTTAAGACCATGGTCTCAGATTTGGAGGCATTGATCCTCATCCTGGTCACTTCACTCTCAGCTGCGAATCACTCGAGTGAGAGCTGTAGTTAGTGCCCTGATGGAGCCAACAGAACGCAATCCTAAGGCCACCAAAATAGATCCCCTCAACACCTTGGCTGCGCCTAGAAATTCTGTCCATAAAAGTTATGAACAGAATCGGTGACAAAGGGAAATCTTGGCAGAGTCCAAAGCTCACTGGAAATGAGTCTGACTTACTGCCGGCAATGTGGACTAGGTTCTGACACTGGTCGTACAGAGACCTAACAGCACTTATAAAAGGACCTGGTACTCCATACTCCCAGAGTAGCCCCCACAGAACCCCTGATGGACACAGTTGAATGCCTTCTCCAGATCCACAAAACACATGTAGACTGGTTTGGCAAACTCCCATGCACCCTCCAGGATCCTGCTGAGGGTGTAGAGCTGATCCAATGTTTCATGGCCAGGATGAAAACCACACTGCTCCTCCTGAATCCGAGTTTCGACTATCCGAAGGACCCTCCTTTCCAGAACCCTGGAATAGACCTTACTAGGGAGGCTTAAGAGTGTTGAAATGTTGTGATTATACCTATCAAAAGATCAAAACCTATCAAATTAAACCTTTAGATCTCCATTAAGGCTTTACCATATTGTTGAGATGTATAAAAGGTTTGTGATTCTACAGTTCAACGTTTGAGGAAAATCCTAAACGATATCTCTGTCATCCAATTTTGCAAATAGTATTATGCAATAAGACACTGGTATAATATAATATTCAATTTTCCAAAGCCAGTATAAAGGTTATTTTTGGACCTTTACCTTACACATCTCTAAATTAATTTTAAAACTATAATTAAAGAGAAACAATTGACTAAAAATGGCCTACATTGAAGTAGAAGCCCTCATATTGGCAGCCACAGCTTTCCACAGGAACACAGCTGCTTCCACTCCTGGAAAAACCATCATCACAGAAACATCCCTCAGAGCAAACATGGTCACAGGTGGCATCAATGCTGCTGGCACAGGTGTTGCCACAATCTGTTCCGCACAGCTCATAATGACTGTTGACTGGGCACTCAATTCCTTTACATGGCAGGGGGAAAAAATACGGTGAGCCGGATAAAACAAGTTTAAACAGAGCAGATGCAATGGTTCAAAACACTTGTTCAATTGATTACCCTAATATCAAAGAGTCTTTTATACTTACTGCAGGTGGTGTTTTGTCTCCAAGGATAGACATGGACATTAGCAGACTGACAGGCACTGACATATGTTTCAAGGGCCCTGCACAGAAGATCATTGCCCCGATTTCCAGACACACAGACATCAAAGACACAGTCACTGAAATATGGTGATGGATCCACCACCTCGTGGCAGAAGCTGAAGGGGCCGTCAGCTGCCTGAATCACCTCACATTGGGACCTGGCAGATTGGTCATCATTGCATTGAGGGCATGAGGAGCCACAGCCATCACTGCAGGTGTAGTTCCCAGGAACCTTCCAGGCTGCCCCAAAAGCATCTGGAGTGTTGACCACTGCTCCACTTGGGGAGTGGAAGTCATCATTTCGATTTCCATTGAAGTTCCCACAAAGACCGCACATACTACCTCTGATGGAGATAAGATACACTGAAATTATGCATTGTGTAATCTGGAAAAATGAATTAACTGAAATAAATATGAGGTTTAATTTTAGCTTAGTCAAACAGTGGGAAGGCTACCTGTATGTTGGGGGCACAGAAATGGACACTGTGCTACTTCCATCATATGTAACACTCAATCCAAAGTCTGCATTGACAAATGTTTGGGATCCACTTCCAAAAATAGACAGGCTTCCATTAAAGACAACTGGCAGGTTTCTGGTAAATCCATTCACCTGTGAAGTAGAACAATTATCCCTGGACTTTTAACCAAATTTGTGGAATATAACC